GTGCTTACTGCCTGGTACTGATGAGCTTTATACCATCATAAGAAAAGAAAGAAATCCAATTTAAGTGGCAATATTTCAAAGAAGAACAGGAAATGCCAGTGCCTTGTTTGCGAACAAAGCAGCATGATTGACATAGCAGCCTGCCAGCCATTGGCACAGCATAAGTGGTCCAACTAGAGCAGCCTTCATTGCTGATGACAAATGAACGGACTGTCCAATCCCTGTGCAGTGTATTGACGCCGACGCGTTACAAATGGGTATAGACAGCCTGCCACCAGATAAGATTTCTGCAGCACACTTAGGCTATAATCCTATGCATACTCACTTGGGAGTAAACTCAGTGGGACTCACTTCTGAGTAAGTACCAATAGAACCAGGTTATGAGAATTGTGCCTTGGGGGTACAACTGTGGGACCAAAGATGTTCCCAGGTGCTGTAATTACTTAGGCTTAGTTGGGGCTTTAAGTGGATGAAATTAAGCCACTGGGACATACATAGAGCTTCCCTGGGGTACAGCCTTCAGAGTCAGTTTTCATTTATTCCAGTTAATAATGATGACTAGGAATGTTGAGGGGAAGTACCAAACTGCATACTTCTTCTTTTTTTTAGGATTCAAAGGTGTGCATGGAAATGTCAGTTCTGCGCTTGATTGTACTGGCTATCTATTAGTTTCTGAGCTCAAGCCACAGTGCTGGTTTTCACCTATAAAGCCTTTTGTGGCTCAGGACCCCAATGCGTCTATACCCAAGAATCGGATCAGGCCTTGCAGTTTTCTGCGTGCCTCATCTGAGGGAGGCATGGAAGGGCTTTAGCCTGTAGCCCCTGTAAGTAAGTTCAAATTCAGGAATATCCTATACACTTAAATTAACATCATGCTGCTAAGATTTATCTTGCAATTTACAGCAGCTTCCCTGTTAAATCAAGTCTAGGGCACATCTGAATAATGAATTTTATTTCATTATTTTCTCTTAAAAAAAGTTCCAGACTGCATTTCTTTTAGAATACATTTACATGATTGATATAGTTTACCCTTCAACCTTACGTTGTTAGGTCGCCAATATCTCCTATCAAACAAGCATCGTGCTTGAGACAGAGGAGAGAGCTCCCATCCTCCCTTTCAACTAATTTCTAGGAGACAGCAACTTTATGTGTAAATATATTTTGTAGCTGATTGGCACACATGAGGTCTTTCAAGTCTCAGCAGACCCAAACTGAAACAGGAACAGATGGAGTCTCTCAGTAATTCTGAAAGTGTCATCCAAATGTGAAGGAAGCCTGGCTGAGTTTATATCTCAAGTTTTGCCTAGACTCTGTAGTCGAAATGAATGGATTTTAAAATTAAAAAGCTAGCAACCGAACAAATAATTTTACTTGAAAAGATTTCTGGTTTGCAGTCAGTAGAAAACACTTTTAAAAGGGTTGTGGGTTTTTTTAAAAAAATAGAATTTTGGGCATGTTTCCACACAGCATGATCATGATTTCACTTGTATTCCAGAATGATCTACACACAAAAAATGCTTTACCTTATACTGCAAAAAAATTTAAAAAAATAAAAAAATCTGACTTTTGTGAAAGATCTGGCATGACTCTTCAATATTACCATTTCTGTGACATGTGGACAAACATAATCCCAGCATCTGTCTACAGAGGTTGGAAGCTGGTAGGTGTGATCTGGAAGATGCCTGTTCTAATCCACTTCTCTTTGACTGGTGCAAGCTGTCAGTTTGCAAGCTCAGTTCAGAGGAGAGATATGGCAGGTAGAGATGCCAGGACTGTGTCAAAGTATTGACCATGACAACAATCATTATCTGCAGACAAGATGTTGTCACGATAACCAGGTTCTCCATAGCTCAGGGCCTCAGGCAGACACGTAGCTCCCCTTCTCATCTCCTAAACTCCAGCAAGGTCAGTATTCTGGAACACTAAGCATTAAATATAAACAAACAAGCAACACCATAGAAAGGTCTATCCCAATGCACATGCTCAGAACTCTGACATTTACTTGATGGAGAAACACAAGGGTATATATGAGATACGACTATAGCCATGGGACTTCTCTCAGTTCGGGCATCACCTGCCACTAGTGTGGAAAGTAAAATTCTGCACTCACTCTTTGATCATAGTAACGTGTGACCAAAGGTGCAGACAATCAGCTACAAATTTGCTCTGCCGTTGCAGTGATCAAATGACATCTTGCTTGCACAGAGAGAGTAAATATGTTGGCGTGGTTAGAGCTTCGGAGCACGAGTGGGAAGCCGTTGGGTGAGTCACAATCTCTGAGCATAACCCTATCTCACAGCGTTGTTAAGGGGATAATGGCTTCTTACTTAGCATCAATCAGGGAGTGGCTTTACCCATCATTAGCTCCGGCTCCCCCTACTGTCAGTCTCCCTGCCTTCTGCCCTAACAGGCAGAATTGACACCAGCCACCACTCGTATTAAGACTGAGCAGAAATTGAGCAAAGGAAACACTGGGAAAACGGAAGTGTCCATCCATTCCAGGGGTTAGCCCTGGAAATCAGTGTCCTCCTCCTCCACAGTCTCCATCCAGCCCTTGTAGCGGTCAGCAGGGAGGAGGATGGAGAAGCAAGTAGACTTCGTTGGCTCTGCCTGTCACTGGCTGCGACTGCATCTTCTGTCGGCTTTCTTGCCAACCACTGTACCAATCCAAACAGGCACTAGACGTCACAGCTTAGAGGAAGGATGGAAGAGAGATCACTGAGCAGATTCAAAAACTGTACTTTCATATCACTGGGGTAGAGCCCAAGTCATTGGAAGCAAGCTTTATCAAATTATGAGTTAACCAACTGATAACATTTACCCCAGCTAATAAAGTGGTTTGTCTCTGAGTGGCAACTCAGCCTGGATCATTTTGACATTGTTTTCATTTTTTTCTGGGCAGATTACAAATGAAAGAAGTCCAAAGAAAATGCTTAATACAGAACCAAGCTATATAGTGGTCTATGTATCACAGAGCTTTATGATTAGTATTTAATTATTATTCATTAAATTTGTATACCGCCCTTCATCCGTAGATCTCAGGGTGGTTCACAACATTTAGTAACCTTCAATATTAGGCTGGTGTTTGGGACACTTTTCTATTATTTCAAATACAATTAACGGCTACCTCCAAATTACAGTATATCTATTTCTCTTGGCGCATGCCTGGGAGGACCAATTAAACAAAAAGAAGCCTTGAATATTATCCACACTACAAAATTCTCATTCACTTTTTGTTGCTGGGGAATTAAGAATGAGCTAAAAAAGGAATAAGGCTGCTCATTTATTTATATGTTTTAAAACCACTGGATTCTTACAATTTTATCAAAATAAATGTTTCCCTTTAGTCATTAGAAATGTGGATTGCTTTATTTCTTTCCTTAGCTTTGCTATTGCAAGGGTTTCTAGGTCGGTATCCTGCTTCCCCCATTGTCTGCTTTTGAAAATGAAAGGTTAAATCTCAAATTACTTCCTCTGAGTGGAGGGGGGGGGGAAGGAATACTTATAAGTTAATAGATTCTCAGCAGGTGAGAAGGAGGACACCAAAAGCCACTTAGCACATAAGCAGAAGTGTTAAAATGGAGATGTTTTCTATGTAGTAGATTGCATAGTGACCACTGGCAGTGATGGAGTCCTGCAGACTACAGAATGAAGAGGAATGCTGTTTTTTTATGTATGTAGAAAGAAATTCCGTCCACATGGAAAAATTCATGCAGAATGAGGCTGTGAATGGCTGCTAGTTATGATGACTATGTTCTGCATCCATGGAAACCACAGGAGGGAAGAGTGTCTATGTTCTCAGGTCCTGCCTGAGGATTTCTCTGTTTGGCCACTGTGAAAACAGGATGATGCACTAGATGGGTCACTAGCAGGCTCTTCTTGTGTTCTTATATTTAAATGCACATCATAGGCCCTTTTCCCTATCCATAACTTCTCTGGTTCTCAGTCTTGAATAGATGGTTGTCCCCATCGCGTCTGCAGTGCTGTTCCTCCTGGCTAGCTGACTTTGTCCCCTGCCACCCAGTGGCTTCAGTACCCTTCCATTATCTTCTTCCTCTCCCTATTGCTACAGTTGCAGAATGATGGAACTGTAGAGGTGGAAGGGACCCCAAGGACTGTCTAGTTCAACCCTGTGCAATGCAGGAATCTCAACTAAGGGTGGATCTACACTCATGGTTTTTAACATTAAGGAAGGGTTGAAGAAAGTTTTCATAATGTAGATGGACGCAAGATGTTTTAACGTTCACAATGCGTTTTTAAATTTGAGACCAGAGGGCGCTGCAGAGCAACCAGCGACCAGCAGGAGGGAAATAGGTGTTGTGACGAAAAAAAGAGGTAAGAAACATATTTTTTTTAACAAGTATGCCCTGTGACATTTTAGAATGCTATATCTAATATCATTCTAATAATGTTAAACAGGTCAGTGTAGATCCAGCCGAAAGCATCCAGCCGATAGCATTGGCACGGGCTTTTTTGTTGTTGTTGTTGCTGAATCACACTGTTGACTTATGTTAAGCTTGTATTCTACTAAAACCCCTAGATCAGTGGTGGCGGAATTCATTTTGTTAGTTTTGGCCCAGTTCATCTCAAATCCTGATTCTGTCTTCTGTGGCATTAGCTACCCCTCCCAGTTTTGTGTCCCAATAATAAAGGAACTGCAGTTTACTGATCGCAGAACTACAATTCCCAGCACCCTCAGCAAACTACACTTCCCAGGATTCTCAGGCAGGGGAAATACACTTTAAACATGCTTTAAATGCATGTTGTATATGCAGCCTGAGGCTACCCTTTGGAAATTATTTTGAGGTGTGAAGAGGTGATGTTCATAAGCCTCAAGCCTTATATTTCTATTGTTCATGGCTATATTTATTTCAACAGTGATTGTCTCTAGTGCAGTGTTTTTAGGAGAGCGCCTCATGTGAATTACGGTAAATCACACATCGCTTATAAAACCACGTTCCTGTTAAATCTATTTAACTGTCTAAAATGGTTTGATAATGGCCCAGTAGAAGCTTTCATTCACAGATGAAAGAAAGAAAGAATGAATAGCCAAGCTTCATGTTTGCAGAGGGGTATGAAGAAGTCCAGTCAGAATCTGTGGAAGACTTTGGTACTCCCGAGCGAAACATCTGCATACTTGAGGCTATATGTCTTCCACCATATGTCTTTATACTGCCATGGCCTCCAGCCATGTTCCAAGTGATCTATAGAGGGGCATCTGTTCCTCAGTTGCTCATCTCTTTCTGCAGTTACTTCTCTTCTAAATATGCAAAAAGAAAAACACTGCATCAGGAAAAAGATTCACAACGTAGACAAGTTTGTGCAAATTTGCATTCATTTCACTGGTTTCTCTGAAGCAGGCCTGTATAATTGCAGCTCTGACGAACAGAAATTTGGATTTTATTGGCTTACGCTCCAGGTTTCTCTCCCCCCCCCCAATCCTCCTCAAGAGTTGTATGGGGATGAATATTTGCCAGCTGATGTGGTAAAACTAGTATGGAGTAGGTCCTGCTTGTCCCCAACGGACATCTGAAGCTGGAGCTTTTAGATCCATTTGTAGCATCCAAATGGATTGCGCCATGAACATTAAGCAGGCTGTCAACACATTGGGATGTATTCAGTGTTACAACTTGGCCCATGCAACAGACTTCCATGCATGCAGTGGAACTTCCTCTCTTGTCTCCTGTCCCCTCAAACTCTCCGTACAACCTTGAAATCAGCTCTGGGATATTGGCCGACCCTCCAGAGCAAATCTGGGGTATGTGTAGAAGGAGGAGAGGAAACAAAAGTCCCTTTGGGTAAGCAGAACTCAGCTAACAGAGCATTGGATTCAGCCCATTTTTATTTGACATGGAAGAGTTCTTTTATTAATACTTTAAGGACCGCCTCTCCGCATATTTGGACTACTGCAATGTGCTCTACGTGGGGCTATCTTTGAAGGTGACCCGGAAACTACAACTAATCCAAAATGCGGCAGCTAGACTGGTGACTGGGAGCGGCTGCCGAGACCACATAACATCGGTCTTGAAAGACCTACATTGGCTCCCAGTATGTTTCCGAGCACAATTCAAAGTGTTGGTGCTGATCTTTAAAGCCCTAAATAGCCTCGGTCCAGTATACCTGAAGGAGCGTCTCCATCCCCATCGTTCAGCCCGGACACTGAGGTCCAGACCTGAGGGCCTTCTGGTGGTTCCCTCACTGCAAAAAGCCAAGTTACAGGGAACCTTCTCGGTAGTGACACCCGCCCTGTGGAACGCCCTCCCACCAGATGTCAAAGAGGAAAACAACTACCAGACTTTTAGAAGACATCTGAAGGCAGCCCTCTTTAGGCAAGCTTTTAATGTTTAACAGACTACTGTATTTTAATACTTTGTTGGAAGCCACCCAGAGTGGCTGGGGAAACCCAGCCAGATGGGCGGGGTATAAATAAATTATTATTATTATTATTATTATTATTATTATTATTATTATTATACAAACTGACCCAGACCCTGAGCTTGTCATCTGAGGCCCCTCTCTATGTCCCTCAACCCAGAGAAGTTTGGAGGGTTTGGAGAGTGGGCCTTTTCTGTGGTGATTCCCCAATTGTGGAATGTTTTCCCCAGAGAGGCTCACCCGGTGCCATCATTACTGGTCTTTAGACGCCAGGCAAAAATGTTCCTTTTTACCCAGGCCTATGACTATTAAATAATCTATGGCCTGTAAATGTGTGTGGGAGAGGACTGTTATTACAGTGGTGCCCCGCAAGACGAATGCCTCGCAAGACGAAAAACTCGCTAGACGAAAGGGTTTTGCGTTTTTTGAGTCGTTCCGCAAGACGAATTTCCCTATGGGCTTGCTTCGCAAGACGAAACGTCTTGCGAGTTCTTGCGAGTTTGTTTCCTTTTTCTTAAAGCCGCTAAGCCGTTAATAGCCGCTAAGCCGCTAATAGCCGCTAAGCCGCTAATAGCCGCTAAGCCGCTAATAGCTGTGCTTCGCAAGATGAAAAAACCGCAAGACGAAGTGACTCGCGGAACGGATTAATTTTGTCTTGCGAGGCACCACTGTATTATGGTTATTTTACTATTAGGCTGTCTGTCAGTATGTTTTTTACTATGTTTTTATCATTGATGTTTTTTAACGTGTTTCCAGTGTTGTACACTGCCCTGAGATCTTTTGCTAAAGGGCAGTACATAAATTGAAATGGTGATAATGATGATGATGGTATTTATGATAAAGTTCCATGTTGCTGACCCTCCTGTGTTCCAAAACTCCAGAAAGACTCTCTGCCATGGTCCACGGAATTCAACCAACAGTAGAAGCCAAGAATTGCTGTCTTGGGGCCAAGGCTATTTTTATTTTATTTATCTGGAAGATCTTTTCCTCTGCCCTGCAGCATTACTGCTCCCAGGGCAGCTGGCAAGGTATAAAAACCAATCAAATCAACCATCAAAATCCACAATAAAAAAGGAAATGGCAGGACAATAAACGTAAGAGATGCTATTCAACTAAATAGTTGTGGTAGTGGAAGGATTAGTGTTATGCTAACAGGATTTCCCCCTTTCTGTTCTGAGTGTACCCTTTGCTGTTCCCAAATCTATTCTGGAGGGTTGGGGTTCAAGGGGGGAAAATAGGTATAAAAGAAGAATTCTTGGATGCCAGTATCCAAGTTTGGAGCAAGTACTCTTTGGTGAGAGAACCCCAGCAGATAATTAAAATCACAAAATATGCAGCAAAGTAAAATGTTGAAATATAGGCTGTTAGACCTTTAAAATATGCCATTTAAATTGAGATCCAAAGTTTCCCTCTTTCCCTAGCATAGAAAAACACCAAAGGTCAGATTCGTGTGCTTCAGAAAGTTGCACAGGCAGTAAAACTTGGCTTAGTTACAGTGGTGAAAGTTCCTAAATTATTGGTACGGGAACTCAAGAGTGGCATGCGAGAGCCATGCAGTCTGAGCTAGAGCAACCAGCTGAAACATCTTTGCATGCGGAGATTCTCAGGCAGACTGAGAGAGAACAATAGACTTGATTACCTAGTTCCTCCCAAGGTGAGGGGAAGCCGACATAGCTAAGCCTGGCAGGACAGCTTACTCTATGGTATTAACCCCTTCATGCACTAATTAGACTTTTGAATGTTGGTTATATGAGGCTGGTTATCCCACGAAGGGAACCCCCAGGATGAGTTTAGGCAGCACATGGGATGATATCCTGACACAAATCAATGTCATAGCAGCAACATCAAACTAGTTTAACCAAGATTTGAAAAGGCCTGAGAAAGTAAAAAGTACCAGCTAATATCTTTCTGACACCAGAAAGATATTAGCTGGTACTAGGCAAGACTTCCTCGTCTTCAGTCACTATCCTTCTAAGCTTGAAAGGGATTAACTAAAGACAAGTTTGTTCTGGATTCTGGTAGGATGCAGTTAACCACTAAAACATATATATGTTACAGTGACTAACAAAACAGAACTGTTACAGCCTTGCAGTTTTGGCTTCTGCCTAATACTGCCTTAACCACTTGCTCTGATAAAAATGACGCTGTCTCCAAGGTGGAAGTTTTGAGGAAGCCTTTCATCTCCAAAGCTCTAGAACTGCCACCTTGGAGACGGCATCATTTTTATCAAGGCAGTTGATGAAGGCAGAGGCCGAAAGCTTTTGCTATAAGAACGTAAGATTTCTGCTTTGTTACTCAGAGTAATACATATAAAGTGAAATGATGATATGCAGAAGGGAGTATGGAAAGAGGTGAGAGAGTTGTTTAGGAAAGGTTGAGACTTTACCGTTTCAATAACTTAAAAGCAAAACTCTCTTAAAATGGCAATTTAATGACATTGGTTTCTATAGAAGAACAAGCTGATCAGAAAGGCGGGGGGCGCAGTAAATGTTGGCTTTGTCAAGAAATAATAATAATAATAATAATAATAATAATAATAATTGTACCCCGCCCCTCTGGCTGGGTTTCCCCAGCCACTCTGGGCAGCTTCCATAGAAACCAAAAATACACTAAAATAACACAGATTAAAAACTTCCCTGAACAGGGCTGCCTTAAGATGTCTTCTGAATGTCAGGTAGTTATTTATCGCTTTGACATCTGATGGGAGGGCGTTCCACAGGGCGGGCGCCACTACCGAGAAGGCCCTCTCCCTGGTTCCCTGTAGCTTTGCTTCTCGCAATGAGGGAACCGCCAGAAGGCGCTGGACCTCAGTGTCCGGGCAGAACGATGGGGGTGGAGACGCTCCTTCAGGTATACTGGACCGAGGCCGTTTACGGCTTTAAAGGTCAACACCAGCACTTTGAATTGTGCTCGGAAACGTACTGGGAGCCAATGTAGGTCTTTCAAGACTGGTGTGATGTGGTCTCAGCGGCCGCCCCCAGTCACCAGTCTAGCTGCCGCATTCTGGATTAGTTGTAGTTTCCGAGTCACCTTCAAAGGTAGCCCCATGTAGAGCGCATTGTGGGAGTCCAAGCGGGAGATAACTAGAGCATGCACCACTCTGGCGAGACAGTCCGCGGGCAGGTAGGGTCTCAGCCTGCGTACCAGGTGGAGTTGGTAGACAGCTGCCCTGGATACAGAATTGACCTGCGCCTCCATGGACAGCTGTGAGTCCAAAATGACTCCCAGGCTGTGCACCTGGTCCTTCAGGGGCACAGTTACCCTATTCAGGACCAGGGAGTTCTCCACACCAGCCCGCCCCCTGTCCCCCAAAAACAGTACTTCTGTCTTGTCAGGATTCAACTTCAATCCATTAGCCGCCATCCATCCTCCAAGAAAATAAACACAGGTCTCTCCCTCCATATCTGATCGAGCAAAGCAAAGAAATATTGGCTAATGGCTGTACATTACACATCAACAAGTGAAGACACCTGTGTTCAGACCTTTGGAGATGATGCTGCAAACATTGACTGTCCCATCCTGATGTATTGTAGTAATGCTTTAAATTTAACAGTTTTAATTTTGAAATGATATGCAACCAACAACCCTCAAGCCCTTAGGGTGAAAGGTAGGCTATACAGTTGTACCTTGGAAGTTGAACAGAATCTGTTCTGGAAGTCCGTTTGACTTCCAAAACGTTCGAAAAACAAAGTGCTGCTTCTGATTGGCTGCAGGAAGCTCCTGCAGCCAATCGGAAGCTGCAGAAGCTCCATCGGATGTTCGGCTTCCAAAAATAGTTTGCAAACTGAAACACTCACTTCCGGGTTGTGGCATTCGGGAGCCAAAACGTTCCAGACCTAAGCTATTTGAAAACCAAGGTATGACTGTACATCTAAATAAATAAACGACCATTATTGAAGAAGTCTTCCAAGTAAACATGGCCACCAAGCCATTACTATCTCTTTTGAACTACATAGAAGGTGTTACAGCCATCAGACAATTCCCAACACAGGTACTGTACATAATTACTCTTGCAAGAATTTTGTATGCTAAAACCTGGAAGCAGAACAGCACATCAACTAAATGGGAACTAATTAGGAGACTATGGGAACACTTACAAGTCATTAAATTGTCAAGAATCCTTTGCTCTCCCCAAACATCAAATTAAGCATTTAATAAATGGAATTGCCACCCCTCTCTTAAGAAAACCAAGCACTTGACAAAGCACTTGAATTTGACTTCTTTTACTCTCCATACCACCACTGTTCACTCATCTTCCCACCTGTGTGTTCTCTGCTTGTTGTGTTTCTTAAACAACAATACTAACACCAATAGCTAGCAAAGTATGGTGCATTACTAGAGTCTCCTGAGGTAATCGGGATAGCTAAAGGAGCTTGACACCTCTGTCTTCACAATAGGTTTAACAACAACAACAATTTATTATTTATACCCCACCCATCTTGCTGGGTTTCCCCTTGAACATGAGTTTGCCCTTGAACAAATGTGTCCTCTCTTTCCTTCTCTAGGTTATATCAGGCTGCTCATTCTCTTGTTGAACAGTGGAGGACACACCAGAAACAATGTTGTGAGGTGTTGCCTTAACTTACTCAAAGCCTACGCGGGAGAGGAAGGAAATAGTCAGGGAAGCAATGCGTGAAGGTTATACCTGGACCGATCCTAGCATCTCCAGATTTTGGAGGAGACATGGAAGTGTATCGAGAAGAAGTATGAATTACTGTCTATATCTTCCGCTCCATAGCTTGTCTAGGAACCAACCAGTCTTTTGTCCCTAAGCCATTATGAAAAAGAAACAAAGACGACCGTTTCTGAACTTCAGTTATAGCTATTGTGCTGTTTCATAGAGGGATTTACTCAACGTATGGAAAGGAACAATAGAATATTCCTCCTTCCCAAACTGGGAGAAGAAGAAAACCTGCTGTTGCCACAATGTTGGTTTGTTTTAAGAGAGATGCTCAAGATTTCAACGCGCAAAAGGTTAGAAGATGGCAGCTATGGGATCTCTCGGATTGTGTGTTTCCTTGCAGCTTGCAGGCTGCATTGCAGAAATGTGAGCAGGTGCTCCTGTGTATCTTCTACAGAGGTGAGAACTAACAGGCGGGAACTGAGATCAATGGAGTAGCTATGTGTCTTTAATATAGTCAGTGCAGAACTTGGAGGAAAGATGCAGCAATTGAGATGAATGGCTTAAAACAAATACTTGACACAACTTTTATTTATTCCCACACTGCATCCCATCACTGAGACCGACTCGGCTTGTCTTGTTAAAAGAAACAGCTACAGCAACAGCTCATTTCTGTTTGTCTTCAGTGAAGCAAAATAAAATAAAATAAAACCCTTAATGAAGAAGTGAAAAGGTAGCGAAGATCTTTTCCTTTTTTTGACACCAGGTGGTCATTGTATTTCCTCGTGTTAATTTTGCTAATGCCACAAGGTGAATTTGCTTTTCAGGGGTCCTGGTAAATATTGTTATGTAGTGCTATAGAAGGTTGAAAGGAGGACACACCTGCCCGAGGGCAAGATGTTCTTAGATCTCTTGGCAAGACAGATTTGCTTAACTCTTTCACTGTCCCAGTTCTCAGTTCAGTTTCCATGGGAAGAAAGGGAACTAGGACAGGACCAGGAATGATGTGCAATAAATCTAGCAGAGAGGCAGCATATTTCATCTTGCTTTCTGTTTATTCAGGCTACAGCTGTCAGAGAAGCCCTTTACAATAATTCATTACAGACCTGTGGGATGTTATCCTTCAGAAAGCTGGTTGAAGGTAGCTCTAATGGCTATTACCACTGCTGTAGGGTTCAATTACTTGCCATTCATTAGAACTGGGTCACTCTTTTTTTTTTTTAAAGAAAGGACAAGGATATAGGAAGTTGCCTTATACTCAAACGATTGATCCGTCCAGCTCAATATTGTCCACATTGGCTTTCTGGAGTTTCAGACTTGAATGAGTCTTTTCCTGCCCTGAACTGGAGAAACCAAGGATTGAACTTGGGATCTTCTGCATGCAAAGTTGGTGATCTACCTTTTACCCAACAGTTTGCTCTTTTTGAGGGATGCGGGTGGCGCTGTAGGTTAAACCACAGAGCCTAGGACTTGCCGATCAGAAGGCTGGTGGTTCAAATCCCCGTGACGGGGTGAGCTCCCGTTGCTCGGTCCCTGCTCCTGCCAACCTAGCAGTTTGAAAGCACGAAGTGCAAGTAGATAAATAGGTACCACTCCTGCGGGAAGGTAAACGGCATTTCCATGCACTGCTCTGGTTCGCTAGAAGCGGCTTAGTCATGCTGGCCACATGACCCGGAAGCTGTACGCCGGCTCCCTCGGCCAATAAGTGAGATGAGCGCCGCAACCCCAGAGTTGGCCATGACTGGACCTAATGGTCAGGGGTCCCTTTACCTTTACGCTCTTTTTATAGTATTAGGTTGGTCTGCTTTTGGTGGGCCATATGTGCCCCCACCCCACCTGGTTGAAGATGAGCCCTGGCCTCCTGGACAGAGATAGCAGGTGGCCTCAGGGGGAAGGAGGGAACAGGAAATATTCTTCCCATGCACTTCCTAAGATAACTTATCTCCGGAACCAAGACGTTGTTGTTGGCCATCTATTCATTTACGTTTTGTGTGGCTGATAGCCAATCAATGACACCATATGAAATTCCTTTTCGATCTCTACAAAGCAGGGATTGGGAACCTGTGGCCATCTAGATGTTGCTGGATCATCCCTGATCATTAGCTGTGCTAACTGGGGTTGGTGGGAGTTGGAGTCCAGCAGCAACAGGTTGACCGCTATAAAGAGTTGAGCTCCATGTGCCCAGCATGGCACTGGCAGTGAGAGATTGGCTGTGCCACACCTGACGATGATCAGGAGGACCCACGCACTCAGTTAGGGTAGACTCAGGCATACTAATCTCCCTGTGCTGCTGGGATCAAGGCATGGAGGTGCTGTGCCAGACTAGTACCAGAGCAGCACTTTCTGACACTTTCAGCTTGACCTCTGGGGCACATTTGCCATCAAAGATCAGCCCCCACTGATTTAAAGAAGCCCAGAGCTATGCAATACAATTCATACTCAATTCATTATCAGATTTTTTTCAAAGAATCCGGGAACACTTTCTTTTTTGAAAAGAGATTTTTTTTTTTTAAAAAAGTAATACCTTCTCTTCTGTGGTCTCCTCTGTCACGTGGCCTTCCTCTGGGCCCCGGCCTGCTCTCTTGGAGCGTTATCAGCCGTGGAGTAGTCTTGGGTCGGGCCTGCATCGGCTCTGGGGTTTTCCAGGCCCCGGAGTACCACTGGGCAGTAGGCCGGGTGGCCGGGCACTCTCACACCCGCCTTGATTTGGGTCGCGGTGTGTGTGTGTCAGCGGTTCACCATTGACATGGCAGGCGTCCCCGGTTCCCCTTTGGCAGTGGCGACGGCAGCCTCAGCAGCCTGTAGTCAGCTTGGTAGCACAGTTGGCTCTGGCTGGCTTCAGGAGCTGCTCGCTGCCATGGCACCCATATGATGTGTCTTGTGCCGTTGAATAAATCGCGCAACATTGATTCCCTACTAATAAATCTACAACACTTAAAATATAAATCCGGGGACATTAAATGAAATCCGGGGACATTCCGGGGACGGATTTTGTCTGGGGACAGATTTGTAAACCTGGGGACCGTCCCCGGAAAACCATACTTTAACAGAAAGTGGCGTTTAGTCTATGCTCCACTTCCGTTTCTGCTAACATCTCTGATTCCTTTTAAGTTTCTGCATTGAGGTGTTAAGCAATGGGAGCACCACCCACGCTGCAAGGCATGAGTGTCTTGCATTTAAGTTTAGAACAACTACAACCGAGACAGCATGATGCATCTTGGACTGAGGAAAGGCTAGAAATGTACCAGTTCTACAGCCAATCAGTACGGCTGTATTAAATTCCTTCCCAACCCTCAGAAGAGTGAAGCTGAGTGTGCCTTTCTGCCTGTGTTTGTGTCTCTGTGTTGCTTGCCTCCCCCAACCGACACTTCTGCTAGGTAGAAATCAGATTTCTGTATCCCCATTTCCAACCCCCGCCCCCAATATCCTTCAGCTGGTTCACATCTCATTTGGCTCTTGCAACTCCCTTTTCTGTCTGTCCATCTGGCAGACTATCTGTGACCATTTCAGTGCTGTGTATTTTATAAAGATATTATCGGTGTACAACAGATGGGGGATAATGCTAATATTACAAACATATACAATAAACTAATTGGTGCCTATTCTACTACTAAGTAGCTCTACTAGAAGAACATCAATAAAAAGTACAGGAAGGCAGGAATGCATTCTAAGATACAGAAGGCAGGGTCCAGCTTTAACAAGGGACTACTTGAGGAGAAAAAAAGGTAAAGGTGAAGTCCAGTCAAAGGTGGACTATGGGGTTGCAGCGCTCATCTTGCTTTCAAGTTGAGGGAGCCGGCGTTTGCCAACAGACAGCTTTCTGGGTCATGTGGCCCCATGACTAAATCACTTCTGGCGCAATGGGACACCATGACGGAAACCATGGAAACGCTGTTTACCTTCCCGTCACAGCGGTGCCTATTTATCTACTTGCACTGGTGTGCTTTAGAGCTGCTAGGTTGGCAGGAGCTGGGACAGAGCAACAGGAGCTCACTCTGCCACTCAGATTTGAACTGCCGGTCTTCCGATCAGCAAGCTCAAGAGGCTCAGTGGTTTACACCACGGTGCCACCTGTATCTACCTGGGGAGAAGGTGTGCCTGAAGCAGGTAACTGATGGTAATGAGGGAGGCAGCATTACAGAGTCAGTATCCCAGTGTGAGCCACCAGCAGCTGCCTAGATGATCAGATACAACAAAGGGCAAAGAACTCAAATCTTTAATAGCTGGGGATAAAGCCAGGCACGGTTGGAAGAGGATAACCCCCTTGCTTCCAGCAGCTGATGTTATGGTTTGGGTTAACGATTAAAGGAGTATTCTGTTGGGAGGAGTGAACTTTGTGCCATCCCTCACTCCTGCTCAAACAGGGTAGCTGTCTGGCAAGCAAGCAGTGGGGTGGGTTGCGGGCTCCCTTTGGGGTAAAGGATCCACGGTTGAATGTTCAGTGCAAGCTTCCTCGTTTACCGAGGGGGCAACCTGCTGTGTCCTCTTAATGTTTCACAGATTTAAACACAATTTGAAACTAAGTGCTGTATCTAAAAGGGAGCATTAATACGGTGGCTCAGGTGGGAAAGACCATGAGGAGGAGGAGGGAATCTGGGCTGACATTTTATGTCTTTTAAAATGTTGACCTTTTGGAAATATCACTGTGTACATTTTAAATATTAATAAAGGAGCTGGCTGTTAGATGGCAGAGTGGCTGTTTGTCGGGGGGGTGACCTTTCATTGAAGCAAAAGAAAATTGACAGTTTTATTAGCTGAAGAGGACCATGGAGTGGGCAGCAGGGAGGAGAATCTGCCACTCTAATTAGCTAAACTAGCAACATACTGTAGATGAAACAGAGCCTAAGGCTTCTGAAGGCACAGCTCTCAGGCAATTTCCTCCCCCTCCTGAGCAAATATTTGCTTTGCTAATAAGTAAGTCAAACCTACTCCTTGGAGCAGGGTTTGACACAACTTGTGCTGGTAAATCACACAGAACGTTCCTTACTATTATTTGACCATAAAACCACAGATGTCGTAGGAACATTAAAGTCATGTATCCCAAGTCTCTACCTTAAGTAGGGATGGGCGAATCTGTCAAATTCACTTTCAGTTTCTCATTTTTCCACATTTCCACTTCAGCTTGCAATTGTTTTCGAAACACCCACACAAGTCCTCATGAAAATTCTGTATCATTTTAGTGTGAAATTCTCCTAAAATACACAGCGTTGTAATCCTCATGCTAATGGGACCCCCGACTTAGTGCTATGTTTAACACAACCCACGGGGTTTAATTTGCTATTAAATAAGTGAAAAAATTAGGGCTGGTTCTGCACTGTTTTTATTGTAATTATTTGTATGGTTTCAATAGATTAGATAGATAGATAGTTTTGAGTCTATCAATGTTTAATTCTTTTTAACTATTGTTTTTCTTCTATGTTTTTAGCAGTTCTGTAAGCAGCCTTGAGTTCTGTTAGGGAAAAGGGTGGTCTAATAAATAAATATAATATATTGATTTGATTTTGTGATTTTATATGTGTTGGAAGCTGCCAAGAATGGCTGGGGCCCAGCCAGATGGGCGGGGTATTATAATAATAATAATAATAATAATAATAATAATAATCCTTTGTAGTCCTCATTGAACTGAATAGGAGGAGAGACGTCCAAAAGACCTTCCTTTTGGATGGTGTCTTAAGAGCTCTCCCTTGCTAGTCCTTCAAATAACCTTCCTCCTATGGAGTGTGTTAGGCAACACCTTGTCTCTTTTCCTCACATACTGCAGAGCCATTTGCCTGAAGCTGATAAAAGTGTTTGTTTTTCTTATGCTTTCACATCCTTTCACTGTTATTTAAGTTGCTGGCACAATATCTATCATGCAGAAAGTTTAAGTTCATTTCAAGTGAACAAGTGAGGCGGTGGGGCTCATGAAATGTACAGTGGGAGATCTTGGTTCAAATTCCTGTTTGAATCTGGGCTCTTTTCAACAAAGTGACCATGTTGGAATGATTCCTCTTTTAAAGTGGATTAAATCTAAAAGACCAGCAGAC